TACTACTACTTACTACTACTTACTACTACTTACTACTACTTACTACTTACTACTACTTACTACTTACTACTACTACTACTACTACTACTACTACTACTACGACGACGACGACGACGACGACGACGACGACTACGACTACACTTGCAGCGCCTTCTAGGGAGCGGGGCCCGCTCCGCTTGTAGTACTCGTACCTCTTCTACTAGTAGTAGTAGTAGTAGTAGTAGTAGTAGTAGGATCACAGTGTGGTGTCTAGGTCTAGCTCAAGCACACAGAGTTGAAGCCCACCATCATACATCTTGAGGCCGCCGGCGCACACAAGTCCACGTCACGCCACAGCAAGATCTCCTGGCAGACACTGGACAAGAGCTCCTCAGCGCACACGAGCTGACTGCTTCGATCCATAGGATCCGCGTTGGTTTTATCTTCGAAACCATATCCAAATGATAAGGGGCAGAAAAAATAAAGGTATTAACTTGCCTTGTTAATAGCAGGTGCTTCTGCAACACCCCACCTCAAAAGAACAATGGGACAATCGCAAGCAGACAATACAACACATTACCGTTCACAGGGTGAATGGCATCCCATCACCATTGCCAGTAGCATTTCCATTGCCACCAGCATCACCACATGTCAAGGGTAAATAACCACTACCAATACCAGCAGCAGCACCACTAGAATCAGCATTGCCATGTGGATTCCCAAGCTGCCACAGCTCACAAGGTGCATACCTCCCACAGGTCAAAGGGCCTGGGCTGCATTTTCGACTATGCCGAAAAATCTTTTCTCCGCCGCACTGATTTGGGGCAGACCTCAACCACAGCGCACAACCACAACCACAAACACACCACCACAAACACAACCACAGCCACGATCACACACACAATAGCAAACACACAACAACAAACAAAACCAAAGACACAATCACAAACACGCAACCACAAACACAATCACAAACACACAACCACAAGCACAACCACAAACGCAATCGCAAACGCAACCACAAACACACAACCGCAAACACAATCACAAACACAACCACAAACACACAACCACAGCCACAAACACACAACCACAAACACACAATCACAAACACACAATCACAAACGCACAACCACAAACACGACCACAGCCACAATCACAAACATGCAATTGCAAGCACACAACCACAAACACAACCACACACACAATCACAAACCCACCGACACAAACACACAATCACAAACATACAATCACAGCGACACATCCACAGCACACAGCCACACAGACGCAACCACAGCACACCCCGTTCGGATTTGGAGTCGCCGCTTCACTGGTTTTATCACTTTCGTGACTGGAGCCCCAACAGGGAATGACTTTTTCGTCTTTTGGGATGTGGGTGTTTGGAGGGAGGGGTTTCCGATTCAGTGTGGGCCAGGAAAGAAACATCTCCCAAGAGCGCCCGTTCTGAAAAGGGTCCATGTATGTCCCTATTGTAGAGGTGGAACTCGAAGACTTTTTCCGAAGATCGAACTCGAAGATGTAAACCCTTCTTCCCATAAAATAACATATATACATCCTATAGGGGCAAACCAGCCCTCAACCCCGTCAACACCGTCCAGCAACCGCGGAAAACGTCCCTCCAGTGTTCCCAAGCAACAGGATGTCACATCAACCTTGGATAGACAAAAATGCCGCACGTGGTGGCACAAGGAGATACCCACGTGCTCTACCAGGACCAGAACCATGCCATTCGATAAAACCTGTATGTAGTGTGTCTCACGCCCTTCATGTTTCGCATCTTTTCTGGTTTGCGTGGATTTGGGGGGTGCATCCAACCAGTTTCAGGGAATGACAATGGTGGCTGATGTTTCGGATCGATCCAACCACATAACCACCATTGAGTTCTCTATAGCACCACACAGAAGGTCTCATTTCTATCACTCGTGGGGCCCAGTTGATCAGTTTCCAGGGACACACCCTTGGAAATCTGAAGCAAATGGCTCTAGACAAGACTATTTCTGTCAGACAGATTCCCTCTTCCCCTGCAGCCCCAGTGCCAAGCAAAGACATCCCGCAGCTGCTGCAAAAGTTGTCAGCGCCGGTGTATTGCCGTTTGCAGCAAAAACCTCAAGATCGATCTAGCGGAATGACTCGACAGCTGCTTTGCGCGTTCTAAGTTTTCTCTGATACATCTAAAGCTCATCAACACAATGAGCAGCCTGCCCACTCCGATAGAAACTGCAAGGTTTGGTGCAAACAAACATTAAAGTACGACGCCACCAACCCCACAGCAGCAATTAAAGGTCTAACCAAACCGGTTTGCAGGCACGATCTCTTGAGCAGATTCTGCAACCCGTCGGCGTGAGGTCCTCACAGATTATAAATGCAATCATACTTCAGTGAAAATTCAGGCGGGGTGCCAACTAGCAAAGTCAATGGCCCTACCACGGTCAAGTTCCACAACGGGGATGACGTTCCGACTGCAAGGCCATCCTGCCCACCCAGAGTCCTGGATGGACATGACGCCAGGCTGTGGCGGCAAACAGTCTCAACCCATAGGCGCTTCGCCGCTTCCTCGGTTTCTTTCTGTCGCCTGCAGCCACGCAGCACGTTCCGGGTCTTGGTCTCCAAACAAGACTGGAGCATTCAGTGGTTCAAAGCGCCCAGAAGCTAAACAACAGTGGTCGATCCTGAGTATTGAAACATTGATACAAAGTGTCTTGGTCAAAGACGTATTCGGGAATGTAGGCTTGTCCGTAGGACACCACGAGCTGCAAATGTTGCTGGCTGGGAAAACAAAGTTAAAGTTACTGACCAGTCTTCTACAGGTGGTTGTGCAGAGTGTCCTAAACGCGACTGATTTTGGATCAGAATGTTCTGCTGCCAAAGATAGAATCCCCAACTTTATAGCACGGAGCCATGCCTCGATCATAGACCTGAGCAAAATCACACAAGCTGTGCGACGTGTGCTGCGGGTCGTCGCACAGCGTCCAAAACGGCTCACCCAAGGTGTCACGCAGCCGCTTGACCTGAGACTGGTCTGAGAAACTGGCTTCAACCAAGTGGCTGAGCGTCTGTGTCTCTTTCTTTCTTGGATTCATCAAAGCGCTCATGAACCACGACACGCTCTTCGTTTAGGCAAGCTACAACGCCACGGTGGAAGGGCTTCAGCGTCTTTTTGCTCACTCCAGGCAAAAACCTTCTGAGCTGCGCAAGGCTGTTTGATCCCATCGTGAAGTCCAGCAGGTGTCGAGGAGTCCCAAATGCATCCGGTCAAACTGAAAGAGCAGAAACACGGCAACACTTACAATGGACCTAGAACATGTCGCGCGCTAAACTCTGGCCTGTGCCCTCTCACCTTTCAGCTCCAAAAGCAGGACCAAATCTCTGCAAAGCATTGACCGCCACCTGATCGAGCCAGGCACGAGAAGCTGGAGCTTCTTTTGACTCCGTCGGTGATAAATGGGCCTTGCTGGAGCTTCTGCATGGTGACTACACTACGACCGTCGCGGGTTCCGAACATGGCCAGCTCGTCCAGCAAATTGCCCGGCTGCCTGAGAAGAAGCTTCTGGATTCTACAAGAGTACAGTATACCCTTTCGCCCTTCGGTTTGGCAGTCTTGTTGCCGCCAGAATTGCCAAAAAGGCACAGGCGCAAACGATGACCCGGAAAAAAAACTAAGCAGGTCGAATGGGGAATTCGTTGATGCTTTCCATAGGGATGAACATGCGTGAAACCATCAAGAAACAAAGTAACTCCCACAACAGAATCGTACCCCTGTCCTCAGTTTAGTAGCTAGCAACAATGTCCCAACAGATGAAAAGGGATTGGTATCAATGCTAATTACACTGAATCACTAACACGAGTCGTTCCTATTATGAAAGATGGGTGCCAAAGCATCCGTCCTGCGCAACCACACATCTTGATATATTTACTAGCTGAAATTTGCCCTTCCCCTTTGATCTTGCTTGCCAGCAAAGCGGCAGCAACTTGCCAACTCCACGTCTCCGCAGCTTGTCCGCAAAAGCCACAAGCCACTTCATGGCCTTGTCCGTGGCTCGGCCCTTGTAAGCTGCCTTAGCCCGCGAAAGCATTCTTTGATGTAGCATGGTTCAGCTATGTCTATTATAGCTACAGGATGTCGGGGCGCTCCTCACATGGTGGTGCCTGCAAACGAGGCACATGCCACGGCGCCGCTCTCTGCCCATAGCCAGCTTTGGATACCTTTGGCATCCAAACACGGAGCACCATCTCCTTGGAAGGCACAAGAAAAGGCAACAATTCAATAAGACACACTGCCAGCGCCGCCAGATGGTGCGCAAATGCAAACAAAGCCGCCAAACGGAGGCATAACCCGAGTGACACAAACCAACGAGCGAGCGCGCGCACTCTAACGTAATGAGCGGGCGCGCGCACTCTTGAGAATGTACGCTCAACATGTGAGACCGTATGATGGGCCGAAGTACCAGCCTTGCGCGCAGGAGCGAGCGCGCGGAGAAACGAGCTTGCGTTCACACAATGTTTTTGACGCGGTTAAGCTTGAAAAAGCCACGCAGTATAGACCCAAATATAATACGCGGGAGTGCGCGTGTAAGCGCACGAGTGAGCCCAGGAGCGAGCGCGCACGAGTGAGCGCGCACGAGTGAGCGCGCACGAGTGGGCATGAGCACGTGCAATTTCAACTAAGTGGTGTATTGGACCGAGCGAGCGCGCGCATATAAACTAGCGCGCATTATTCAACAAGTAAGGGTTTGGAACCATGTGGCTTCACTTTCAAGCTGCTAGTGTCGCATAATGAGGCGACGCAATGTATATGAGGGAGCGCGCGCGTGCATGAGTGAGCGCGCGCCACTTCAGGAACAACTTCGCGAACTCGCGAAACATTTGTTGCGATTGATCCTACATGCCAAGAAGGGCGTACAAATTTGCTGCGCCGCGCAACGTGCAGAGCCGACCACCGAAGCGTCAGGAAAATTCAGCCGCAGATGCGTCAAGCACGGAAATCATCTGACAGCGCAAAATGGCCAGCTGAAAAGAATCAGACAAGAAACTTGCACCAATCAAGCAACGGTGCAGGCAATCAACTCTGCTGAGTGCATCCTTCTGTTGCTTGCTCCAATCCACGCTGTTGAGCCTTTTTTTTTGATGGGACATCTGACGGCGCATCTGACGGCAGCGCGCGCTCACTCCCTCCTTCGTTCAACGGTTATCTGCTTCCGCGATTTCTGCCTGGTGAGGGTGCAATGTCTTGCGAATACTACCTTTGAGCTCATTCAAGGCCATGTCAGTCGCCTGCATCAACTTGTGAACGCGCGCTCCCTTCATTGAGGGATAGTGCATGTTCGGTGTAGCGCCCACGACCACAAATACATATATATATATACATAATTGGTTTGCAATCATTTATCGTGTTTGGTGCTGACATATCCAAACATGTTTGCTCTGCCGAAGGTCCTTGATGCAGGTCTTCGGAGTGTCGCGGAATCAGCTGACGAAGGAGCAACCATCCTCAGCCAAATGCTTAAGTTCACAATGCGTGCAACAACATCATTGCTTTCAATGAATTGAATTTCTTCCCACGCTGTTGCGCCTGTGTTTTGCATGAAAATCGTCAGAAGCACGTAGCCCTGACCTCCGAACATCCGGACCGTGGGGGCTCACTCCACGCCAAGAAGCGGGAACGAAGTTCAGGTAGAAAGCCCACCACGCGCCAGCATCGTTGAGCAGAGCTCTGGCGTTTATGTGTCGGTTTTTGGGCCTCATTGCGCAAACATGACCAATAGTACAGGGCCGACATCTATCTCCACATTGACGCGCGCAAAGACAACAAACAATCCATGACACCATCAGTGGCACCTTCTGCTCCAACATGGGACTAGAGCGAGGCTGAAAACAACACGTCCACGAATGGTGCTGCAAAGTCAGTATACCGGGTTTGCTCAAAGGAATTTTAGGCTTAGTGGGATGTACTCTGGGTGAAAATGCAGAGATCGGTTCCACCGCCAATAACACAACCGAGCCGCTGCTGCATACACAATGGTGATTTTAAGTGGGAATAGGTTTTTTTATGCTAACGGTTCTTTTTTTTTATGCTGGATTTGGGTGGGTTCTTCTTTTTATGCTAACGGTGTTTTTTTATGCTGAGGGTTTTTATTTTTATGCTGAGGGTTTTTATTTTTATGCT